TTTCGAAATTAAGAACGACTAATATTTTCATAACACTAGTTAAAGAAGTTTTGATTCTTTTCTTATTACTAATAAATCAAACTAAATCATTTGCACTAATTTTTATTTGTATAGTTTTACTATCAGATCCACTATCATTCGACACTTCACTCAAATTCGATTCTTCGCTATCAGAATCTCTTGCAAATTGCGATTTAATTTTAAGTGTATTATGCCCTGGATACATTTCCCGAAATAAATCCTTATTATTTTTTATATATGAATGAATTGTGTTTTTATTTACATTAACTTCGTTTGCTATTTTATCCCGCAGTTTATCATTTTCGGATATAATTTTATCGAAAAATAAATATTGTTTATATTTTTGCACCTCACGTAGAATTGTTTCATAATTAGAATTTCTTGGCCTTCCGCGATCATTGGCTACGACAATCGCGGACTCTCCCGATTGATTAAATGTCATATGTCATATATTTTATTTTAATAATATAATGGCAATTGTGATGGCTGATAATTTTGTTCGGTAATGATCGCTCAGACATGTGACGTCACATACCCGTCTATGTTTGAGCACTTTTTGCAACGGAAAACATATGAGGACTAGCAGTCCATGTAGTGTAATGTCTACGCCGTCCATCCATCATGAGGTCACATACATACTTTGTTTTCATAATTTCATGCACTGAAATAATTTTGTATCTTAAAAAGACTTGAATCTTTATTTCTCAGAAATGCAATTCTGAGAATATATATATATATATATATATATATATATATATATATATATATTAACAAAGTCTAATAATCGGGCATAACATCAATAAAAAACATGAATTTCTTTCAAAAATTTATTTTAAATCCATACGTTTCGGCTATAATCCTAGCCTTCATTCAGTGGAAACTAAAAATAAAATTAAAAACTAAAACAATTGAATTGGAGTGAAAAGAAAAAATAAAATAGTAATTAGTACTTACAATTAGTTGATCTTAGTGTTAATTTGCAAAACTTTAGTAATCCATGGTATTAGGATATGGTAATGCACTACACTATGTATTATAAACATTAACTTGAAATTACACAATATTTTCACAAAATACTGATTTGAAAAAATCACAAATGGATAGTGTGTTATTCGTAGACTGGTTGAAGATGTAATGGAGAAAGACATTTTTCTAAAAAATATTTTTACCAAGATTCTGCACATGTGTGGAACGAATTGTAAAACCTTTGCGCGAACGCTTTTATTGTTTTGTAAGAAATTTGGAAATGTTATCTAAATAGAAGAGATTTGTGTCGCACAGCGTGTTGAGTTCATTCCGTTTATTTATTGTCTTATTGTTATAAATAGTTAAAAAAGATCCCTCTATAATTCTTCGTTTAAATAAATTTTGTTCAAATTGTAGTACAGTCGGATTAGAAAAGTCCATATTGTGTTTTAAAGTGTATATATGGTCTGCAAGAACTGTTTTGAATTGTTTGGGGTTTTTTGAATTGTTTTTATGTTGTTGTAACCGTTTATTGAGGTTCTGGCTAGTTTCTCCTATGTAAATTAAATTACAGTCTAAACAATTTATTTGATAGACGAGATTTCTGAGTCGTTCAATATTAAATGGGGTTTTTGTCTTGGTAAAAATAGTGCTAGTAGTTGTACTGAAATTGGTTACAAGTCGAAGTCCAGATTTATAAAAAAGTTTTTTCCAAGGAACATACAATTCTTTAATGTATGGCAAACATATTACACCAGAATGAGTTTCTGAGTCAGGTAAATCGTTATGTACTGTGCAATTGTCCATTTTATTCAAAAGGTATGTTCGTCTGTTACTAGTTACGGAATTTATAAGTTTTAGGGGATAAGAGTTATCTGTTAAAATTTTTGTAATTAATTTGATGTTGTTGTCCCAAAATGTTTTGTCCGATAGAAGTATTGCGTGGTCCGTTAGATTTATTATAGTACCTATTTTCATTTTGAGTGGATGATAAGAAAAGTAATTAAGGTAGCGTCCGGAATTAGTCGGTTTTTGGTACCAATTTGTTATTAGTTTGTTATCTGTAGTACGTATAAGTTTTATGTCTAAGAAACTGATCGAGTTCATTGTCTCCAATTCCACTGTAAATTTTAATTTTTTATTGACGTTATTAAATTGATCAATTATCATAGTGACATCATCACTAGGGATACAAGTGATAATGTCATCTACATAACGGTAATAACTTGTATCACTTGTATCCCTAGTGATGATGTCACTATGATAATTGATCAATTTAATAACGTCAATAAAAAATTAAAATTTACAGTGGAATTGGAGACAATGAACTCGATCAGTTTCTTAGACATAAAACTTATACGTACTACAGATAACAAACTAATAACAAATTGGTACCAAAAAACGACTAATTCCGGACGCTACCTTAATTACTTTTCTTATCATCCACTCAAAATGAAAATTGGTACTATAATAAATCTAACGGACCACGCAATACTTCTATCGGACAAAACATTTTGGGACAACAACATCAAATTAATTACAAAAATTTTAACAGATAACTCTTATCCCCTAAAACTTATAAATTCCGTAACTAGTAACAGACGAACATACCTTTTGAATAAAATGGACAATTGCACAGTACATAACGATTTACCTGACTCAGAAACTCATTCTGGTGTAATATGTTTGCCATACATTAAAGAATTGTATGTTCCTTGGAAAAAACTTTTTTATAAATCTGGACTTCGACTTGTAACCAATTTCAGTACAACTACTAGCACTATTTTTACCAAGACAAAAACCCCATTTAATATTGAACGACTCAGAAATCTCGTCTATCAAATAAATTGTTTAGACTGTAATTTAATTTACATAGGAGAAACTAGCCAGAACCTCAATAAACGGTTACAACAACATAAAAACAATTCAAAAAACCCCAAACAATTCAAAACAGTTCTTGCAGACCATATATACACTTTAAAACACAATATGGACTTTTCTAATCCGACTGTACTACAATTTGAACAAAATTTATTTAAACGAAGAATTATAGAGGGATCTTTTTTAACTATTTATAACAATAAGACAATAAATAAACGGAATGAACTCAACACGCTGTGCGACACAAATCTCTTCTATTTAGATAACATTTCCAAATTTCTTACAAAACAATAAAAGCGTTCGCGCAAAGGTTTTACAATTCGTTCCACACATGTGCAGAATCTTGGTAAAAATATTTTTTAGAAAAATGTCTTTCTCCATTACATCTTCAACCAGTCTACGAATAACACACTATCCATTTGTGATTTTTTCAAATCAGTATTTTGTGAAAATATTGTGTAATTTCAAGTTAATGTTTATAATACATAGTGTAGTGCATTACCATATCCTAATACCATGGATTACTAAAGTTTTGCAAATTAACACTAAGATCAACTAATTGTAAGTACTAATTACTATTTTATTTTTTCTTTTCACTCCAATTCAATTGTTTTAGTTTTTAATTTTAATTTTAGTTTCCACTGAATGAAGGCTAGGATTATAGCCGAAACGAATGGATTTAAAATAAATTTTTGAAAGAAATTCATGTTTTTTATTGATGTTATGCCCGATTATTAGACTTTGTTAATACATATGTCAACATCAAACTCAGAATCATACAAAATATATATATATATACAGTACAGGCCAAAAGTTTCCGGACACATGAAAAATCTCATTTTCTGAGTTTTTAGCTATATTTTTCGTATAAAAATAATTTTATTCAAGTTAGTTTTGTATATTCTACGTAGTATTAATATTTAGTGACTGATTTGTAACCAATTTGTGAGAAATGACGGACTAATTAGCAATGAAAATGTTAAAATGTCACAGTCGATTTTCCTGAATATGACCACCCTTTGCTTTGATCGCTGCAGCGCATATTTTTGGTAATCTTTTGACAAGTTTTTGCAATGTTTGCGCAGGTATGTTCTTCCAGGACTCGTTAAGGCAATTCCACAGGGCAGCAAGGCTGATTGGATGCAAATCCTTCACGCGGCATTTAAGCTCGTCCCACAACAGCTCTATTGGATTAAGATCCGGCGATTGTGCAGGCCACTCAAAAAACCACTTCTGCGAGCAGTAAATAAACAAAAGAGATTGCAATTTGCCAAAACCCACTTAAATTGGACCATCAATCAATGGAAATCAGTTTTATGGACGGATGAGTCAAAATTCGAACTTTTCGGAAGTCATCGACGTAGGAAGGGTAATGAAAGACTCAATTCTAAGTGTATTTCGACAAAGGTAAAGCACGGTGGTGGTTCAGTGATGGCTTGGGGTTGTTTTGGATTCAATGAAGTCGGATCGCTTGTCAAAATACATGGAACTTTAAAGAAAGAACAGTATCATAGCATACTTGAGCGCCACGCCATTCCATCTGGTTACAATTTAATTGGTCCAAAATTTATTTTTCAACAAGATAATGACCCTAAACACACTTCCCGACTCTGTGCCAATTATTTGAAGCGAAAACAAGATGAAAAAATAGTTCAAATAATGGATCTTAATCCAATAGAACTGTAGTGCATTTGTCTGACTGATTTGCTTCCAAGCAGCATCCCTGCCCTGTGGAATTGCCTTAACGAGTCCTGGAAGAACATACCTGCGCAAACATTGCAAAAACTCGTCGAAAGATTACCAAAAATATGCGCTGCAGTGATCAAAACAAAGGGTGGTCATATTCAGGAAAATCGACTGCAGTGACATTTTAACATTTTCATTACTAATTAGTCTACTATTTCTCACTAATTGGTTACAAATCAGTCACTAAATATTAGGGGGACCGGAAAGTAATGTCGTTTCTGCGCATGCCAATACTTGATTGTCATTTGTCAGCTCATTGTTTGGTTCAGAGGCGTACCAAAGACATTGTGAAACATAGTGATTTCTTTTTGAATTACAATTTTTTTTTTTGTAATTTTGGGTAAAATGGCAGCCAAATACCAGAAGAGGTACACATCCGGCATTGCATGCTCTTTGAGTTTCGCAAGGGAAATAACGCAACAGTTGCTACCAAAAACATTTGCGATGTTTATCCAAATGCACTGGACATTTGTAAATGCCAAAGGTGGTTTTCCAAGTTCAAATCGGGTAATTTTGATCTTTCCGACTCGTATCGATCAGGAAGACCATCAGCGTTAGACAACGACGTGTTAAGGGCGGAAGTGGAAGCAAATCCGTGTCAGACGATCGAGGAATTGTCAAACAGTCTCAACCAACCTTGGTCGACCATCCAAGAACATTTGAAGCAGATTGGGAAAGTAAGCAGAGCAGGTGTTTGGGTCCCGCATAATCTGTCCGAACAGAATAAGGCTAACCGATCAATCACATGCAACAGAAAAAATTAATGAATTGGGGTGGGAGGTGCTGCCTCATCCACCATATTCGCCCGATGTTGCACCATCGGATTTCCACTTATTCCGAGGGCTGCAACACTTTTTAAGTGGCAAAACATTTGCAAATTTGGATGATATCCAAAATGCCATCTCTAGATATTTTGCCGAAAAAACCAATGAATTTTTATCGATCAGGGATTGAAAATTTACTCACTGGATGGCAAAAGGTTATTGACAATGATGGGGAATACATCATTGATTAAAAATAAAGACTCGTTAAAAATGTATGTGTTTGTAGTTTAGCGTAAGAAAACGACATTACTTTCCGGTCCCCCTAATATTAATACTACGTAGAATGTACAAAACCAACTTTAATAAAATTATTTTTATATGAAAAATATAGCTAAAAACTAAGAAAATGAGATTTTTTTCAAGAAACTTTTGGCCTGTACTGTATATATATATATATACACTAGCTGACCCGACAGACGTTGTACTGTACCCACGTCTACAGTTTTTCAATATTTTATACTAATATTTACTGCTTAGTTAAAAATAATAATTACTGTTTTTTGAATTACTATTTACACCAATATGTGAGTGACGTTGAATGTAGAACTGTTTCAAATAAAATTATTGTTCTCAATTCCCACTGTTAATACTTTAATTATTCATTTAACAAAAAATGTTCAATAAAATTGTATATTAAAAATTATACACTGCGATTTATAGAACAAATTTATTTCCAATAGCTCAATTTATTTTATTGAATTTAAGGGTTATATAGTTTTTTTAGTCATACCTGTAGATGTGGATGGATAAATGAATGATTTTTTTTATTCGCGACTAAAACATTGATTTTCCAAATTTATCAAACTTAAAGTGATCGTCTTCCTTTTTGATTTATGGTCATAGCATAAGATACTCGTGTTGAAATTTGAAATCTTTTAAAAAGTACAACAAATTCAGAAAGAATTAATATATAGCATTCGCGGCGAAGGTGCAATATCACCTTTTATTTTTCTATCCAAAATAATTGCTTCAATAATGTTGCCTATAATTTTTATGATTTCGTACCATATTTTAACTGGCTTTTAGTAATTTTAATATCTAAATTACATTTTTTTCTCTAATAAATCAATATACATTATTGCTTAAGTTTATATTTGAAGTGAATTAATTTGTCAAATCCTGTTCACATGTGCTCTATTCAACTTACGATCAACAAAATTATTGCTCTGTGAATGTGATGAATGAGAAAGAAGGATGGCATGATCTAATAAGTTGATGATAGATGCAATCTTAGTCGATTTGGGGAGATAGGAATAGTAGTTTAAATAACGTCCAGACAAAGTGTATTTTTGATACCAACCTGTAGTGATGGAGCCGTTATTTATAAAAATGGTAATATCTAAAAAATTAATGGAGTTGTTATGTTGAGTCTCTACAGTTAAACAAAGGTGTGTGTTGAAATTATTAAAAGAAACGTTTGTAAAAAAGAGGTACATAAGATAAAATATTAAGAGTAGAGTTCTCTAGGAACTGCATACAAAGTTCAGCAAGTGGGGCACTCAAACTGGAACCCATTGGAGTGCCAAATTTTTGTTTAAAGAAGGAGTCGTTGAACAAAAAATAAGTATTGGAAATAATGAATTTAATACATTTTAGGAACCAAGAAAAATTGAAATCTGTGTGTTTGCTGATATCAACCAATTTATAGTCTATGGCAGAGAGAATAAGGTCAGGTGAAATGTTAGTGAAGAGGGAAACAACATCTAAACTTACAAAGGAAAAATCAGATGGTACATTGAGGGAGTTAAGTTTAGGAATGAGTTAGAAAGAATTTGCTAAAATGTTTAAAACATTGGGTGGGATGTCTAAATCAGAAATGTTTTTCACCCATTTATTGATGATATCACGGTTTATATTTAATTTGGATTCGTTTGCCTTTTTCGAATAAAGAGTATTGAATTTTTTTATGTAGGATTTTTTTTGACATATTAAAAGAATTATTGAATCTAGAGTTTTCGAAATCTAAAAAATTATTAATGTCAATGTGATTATTTATAGTGGAAAATAAGGTTGGATGTTATAGTTTAAAGATTTATTTTTGTTATCAATAGAGGTAATGCAATGTTTGATTTCTAGATTCAGCAACATAAAAGAAAAGGTAAGCTTTTTATTTTTAAAATAATTGGAATTAAGATGATTAAAGTTCGTTAGTTTGAAATCAAAGGATTTTGGTAGAAGTCTTTCTTTACGACAACGAAGTAAGAAAGTTCTTTTGTTGGTGACAATAGCCAGTTTTGAGAAAAGATTTGAAATAGTTTTAAATAATATGAGTTTGGTAGGTCCATAGCAATGGAAAATGTACTCGAAGAAAGATGAGAAAGAGTAAGGAATGTATTGTGTAAAATTATTATGAAAATAATTGTTGTAACGGTAAATTGACGAATTATTGAAATTATTATAATTCTGTGTGTAAGTTGGATATTGATAAGAGGAACGAATATTATGTCTTACCTTATTTGTATGGAGAGCATTATTTACATGTAAAGTAGTGAAATTATAATTATTTTGAAAATTCATGTTGTTAAATATTAGAAAACACTTGTAAAAGTTCTTGAAAAAGATCAAAATCTTGGATTTGTAACTTCAGTGTAGTATTGGTTCTGAGTGTCCTAACAAGAAAGTCTTGAAAAGCAATGTCTTGAGAATGACAAAAAATCTTGAATATCTTATGTTGAAATTGTCCAATTTTTCAGCCCTTGGATTATATAAAGCGAGAGGTTTTCTTCAGATGGTGAAATATATGGTAAAATTATTTCTTGGGCATCCATCCAGTAATTAAAAACAGTTTTATTGAAGGAAAATGTTTTTATTTAGAGAACATACGTTTCGGGTCTTGATTTGACCCATCTTCAGTGCTATAATTAAATATTTCAGGGTTACAATTGAAAACAATATAAAAAATACATAATTACATACAAAAATAAATAAAAACGTGTAAAAAACATAAATCTAACCAATTTAATAAATTAGTTTTAAAACAAATATATATTGTGAAAGAATATATGAAAAGTATATATGAAAAACAACCATAAAATAAACAAATGTAAAGAAACTCACCATACAAATAAATTTGAAAAAAAAAATAAAACACACGAAATTGCACGAAAAAATAAATATGAAACAAAAAATTGATAAAACGTCGAGTTAGGAAAATTTTTTAAAAAATTGTAAAATTAAAATAAATAATATATTTTATTATAAAAAAGCTTATTCCAAACGAACATGTTGTCAGCTTGGAGCATGTACTACGTGTGTGTACGAGAGTAAAATGTGTGCGTACGTATTTGCGGAAAATAGTGGAAACTGTATCGTCATTGGATGAGAGAACGGGATAGAGAGAATTTTAGTGGTTTCATATTACGAAGATTTTCTCAGCGATCATGCGCAGTAGGAACATAGAGAAAATATGGCATGTGGAAACAATCCATAATCAACCGTTAAACATAATATGTGGATAAAAATGAAAATGTAGAAACATAATAAAACCATGGTAGACAATGTAAAAATGAAAAAATATGTGATGAGAATCTTTCACAATATATATTTGTTTTAAAACTAATTTATTAAATTTTTTGTCTGTAATTATGTATTTTTTATATTGTTTTCAATTGTAACCCTGAAATATTTAATTATAGCACTGAAGATGGGTCAAATCAAGACCCGAAACGTATGTTCTCTGAATAAAAACATTTTCCTTCAATAAAACTGCCATATATATATATATATATATATATATATATATATATATATAATGTGTGTGTGTGTATTATCAGAATATATTTGCAGTTAAACTTACATATTCCGAACACAAATCTTCACTTTCTTTCAACCTTTTACAGTCAATATGTATTTTCATTTTAATAACATGATATTTATTACAATTTTACAAATATAATTAGAGATATAATGGAATAGAGAATATAAAATCAAAATTATTATTAATAATTTTAATATCATATTTAGTGAAGGGATATATAGTTTTTATGTATTCTTTTCTACGCAATGCATAAACACACTTCTAGCAATACTCTTAATATTTATTTAACTATGCTTTTGGCAATACCGGCATGCTTAAATCGAAATAAATTTCAAATATAATAAAATATAACTTCCGGTGACTCTAAATAAAACAGCTGCAATAAATATAAAATTTATTCAATTTTTTTTTTTTTTTATCTTTTATAATAGCGTTGTAATTGCATTATCATTATATATTTGATTGTTTGTGAGTTCAAGGTAGACATTCTACATTAGAACATTCGGATATTATTGTAGGTTTATTAATATGATTCAGTTTAATTTTGCCATTAATATAATTAAAATGCGTTTGCCCAAAAATATCTGCCCTTACTAGCAATTTAGAAAAAACATAATTTTTTGATACATTAAATACAGCTTCCACCCCTGCACTGGGCGATGGTATACTGCTATATCCAAATTTTGTTCTTGATACACCTGACCATAGTGGCAATATATTAACATGTTTTAATAGTCGCCTAGTTGAGGATAATAATGTGCATTTACGCCAAGGCCAAAGACATTTTTAATTTTACTATTTACAATGGAAGAAATATTCTGACCCCATGCTTTCCAGTACCCACTGCCAGTTTCTTCGAAATCTAAATTAAAATGTATAAATAATTATTGTAATTGTATTATATATATATATATATATATACATATATACATAATAAGTTATTTTAAAAATGAGTACCTTCATCAATCATATCTTCCCTTTGTATTGAAATCATTGTATAATTATGTAATTCAATTTTTTCCTGCGGCACAGTTTGAATAACTTTTTTTTTCATTTCACAATGTGTTTTGGAACCATTTTTATTAAAGCCTTCAATTTCGCTTCTGCATGTAATCAATATAATTGAAAGAATCGTAAATTTGTAGCAAATCGACATGTGTCGGCATATTCTACAAATGTATTGTAATTGGTGAATACCCTCACGCAAGTTGCCGAAAGTGCTTGCAACTGATCACAGACAATTTCCTTC